TTTCAAAGTCTTTTGCTATTATAGAAAAATGATGTTAAAAAATAACTTCACATATTGCCTTCTGTATTTGTCATTGTTAAGTGTGTTATTTAGTTTTCTGTCACTATAACAAAAAGAGAAAAGGTTTAACTTGTTCATAGTCTTGAAAGTTCCAGCCCAACACTGGGAGGGCCCATTGCTTGGGCCTTTTGCTAGTGACACCAATGGTATGGCAGGGATCACACAGCAAAGCAAACTTCTCACTTCACGGCCATGAAGCAAAAGAGAAAAATGAAGGGATACCTCCAACCCAAAGGCATGTCTCCCAAAGACTTAAAAGCCTCCCCCTAGACCACACCTCCTAAAGACTCCACCCCTTCCTAATAGCACCAACCCAGAAACCAAACATTCAACATAGGCATCTTTGAGGACATTCACCATCCAACTGATATTTGTTCTTATTTAAGAATAAATGGGAATTTCTTTTTGTTGCAATGATGCTTCCACTTAAAAACCAAAAATACATGAAAATTTTGTCTGAAATATTTGCATGCACATTTGTGGCACTTGCTAAACTCTTCTTGTAGGCACCTATGCAATTGCATCTTTTTAGGGTAACAAGAAACGTTTTGTTTTGGCTTTGTTTTTTGGTACTGGGGATCAAACTCAGGACCTTGTGCTTCCGAGGCAGATGGCAGCACCACTGAGCTAAATCCCCAGCCCAAGAAACATTTTATTAAAGAAAATTTGGACCTGGCTTGGGCTGGTGTATGCCTGTAACTCCAGTTCTTGGGAAGCTGAAGCAGGTGGATCACAAGTTCCAGCCCTGCCTGGGAAAATTAGCAAGATCCTCTCTCAAAATAAAAAATAAAACAGGCCTGGGGATGTGACTCAGTGCAAAGACCCTGGGTTCATTTTCCAGTAACGCGCGTGCGCGCACACACACACACACACACACAACAAGCACACCTGAATAAAAATAAAGTAAAATAAAATAAAGAATATTTCTGCCCAAATCTTACACACAGGTTGAGATTTAGGAACCAACCACAGGAGATTTAGGAAACAACAACACAACAAACTTTGTTAACAAGATCCTCATCCCTAGGGGATGAGCAGTGTATATAAGGATGTTTGAATACGGGCCTTATCCCATCTAGACAAGGCATTTATTACCCGTTTGTTTTGCCACATCTTGCTTTAAAGAGTCTTCTTTGCTTTCTATAGTTGCAGTTTTACCAGGGTCAATTTGTCGGCAAACTGATTCTTGGTTATTTTTTGGTTCAACACAATAGTTGCTATGCAAAGAAAAGTTCCTAAACACATAATCTTACATCACCTATGTTGTCAATACAAGCCCACAGGACAACTGAGGTTCCCCAGAGGTTTACCAGATGGCTTTCTGGTGGAGACAATAAACAAAATTGGCCTGGAACACTAAAGCTTGTGACAGGGGCTCCAGAAGTTAGCTAATTCACAGTGAGCCTGATAGCAAGAAATCACTGTGTATATTGGGAAGATGCCAAGCAAGCAATGCAGTACTTTCTGGAGGTGCATTCCCAGCTGCTCAGTCAGGACACATGTAGTCCAGCATATTGGGTGTAATAGCTATATTTTTCTTCCTCCAGCAAAAGATAAAATGTTCATGAGAAAGATGCAGCCTTAGTAAACTCAAAGAGCATCTTACTGAAAACAAGCAGTTAGACTGGAGGTTTTTCACCTGACCTCTACTTGGATATTATTAGAGAATTCTACCCCAGTAAAAGTGAGCAAAGCCCAGTTCCCAGGCCAAGTCAGCCACTCACCCTAGCTGTGAAAAAACGGGACAGGTCTCACTGCAGAAGGGTGAAGAGACAGTAACACAACATGGCATAGTGCGTTTGGCCTCTAGAGAAGGCAAAGGTAAATTTAAAAGTACAATTCTGAAAGTTTATCTACAGTAGGAAATTAAGGAAATCTTAAGGTATGTTTGATTTATAAGCATAATTAATAACCCTAAAGTCATAGGGGAGGAATGGCAGAGATAGAAAGACAGTGGGTTAATTTCTGGCCAACATGGAGGACAAATGTTCTGTCTATGTCCAACATGGAAGTATCGAATAAAAGAGCTTAAATACCTCTTTGTTTAAAAAGTTTTAAATTTAGATCAAATCTGAAAGAAGTTGTCAGATATCAAGGTCCTAGGGGTTACCAGGACTGAAACAGAAAGGAGCATGACTCCAGTATCTAAGAGGAGAATAACGCTTAAAAGATGGCCTGGGTTATAATATCCACATCTCCATATGTCCACATACTACAGATCAAAAGTTGAGGGTTCAGTTTCCATCTCACAGCTGGTGGGAATGAGCTGTGTGTCACTAGAGATAAAGACACAGTGGCCGGTTTCTGAAATGGGATTAGCATCCCCCACACACTTACTTACATGTACTAGCTTAGGGAAGAGAATCTCGACATCCACGTGGAGTTCTCTGTGGATAAAAAGACAACAAGTGAAAGAAAAAAAATTTGCTTCTTACTCTGCTCACCAAACTACTACTGATAGCCAAAATGTGTGATTTCCTCCTGCACACATACACACACACACACACACACACACACACCCCATCTGGTTCTCCTCCTCTCCAGACTCCAATTGGGCATCCCACAGTTCAGTTGTGACACTAACTATTT